ACTGGCGACTTTGTAGTACAACTTTAGTACGCGGAGTAGCTGTGGAGCTGGAAGCTGAGAACTGGCGAGTTTCTAGTGCAACTTTAGTACGCGGAGCAATCTGTGGAGCTGGAAGCTGAGAACTGGCGACTTTGTAGTACAACTTTAGTACGCGGAGTAGCTGTGGAGCTGGAAGCTGAGAACTGGCGAGTTTCTAGTACAACTTTAGTACGCGGAGCAATCTGTGGAGCTGGAAGCTGAGAACTGGCGACTTTGTAGTACAACTTTAGTGGAAGCTGAGAACTGGCGAGTTTCTAGTACAACTTTAGTACGCGGAGTAGCTGTGGAGCTGGAAGCTGAGAACTGGCGACTTTGTAGTACAACTTTAGTACGCGGAGCAATCTGCGGAGCTGGAAGCTGAGAACTGGCGAGTTTCTAGTACAACTTTAGTACGCGGAGTAGCTGGGGAGTGGGAAGATGAGAACTGGCGACTTGGTAGTACAACTGTAGTACGCGGAGCAATCCGTGAGCTGGAAGCTGAGAACTGGCGACTTTGTAGTACAACTTTAGTACGCGGAGCAATCTGTGGAGCTGGAAGCTGAGAACTGGCGACTTTGTAGTACAACTTTCGTACATTATGCCCCATATTGCGGACGTGCGACAACCGCTGGTGTTGTTGGCTAGTTGTGGCTGCGCACACCTGTGTGCACAATACCTCGTACATCCGTCGTGCACACCACTCTCTTACACCTTCTCTCCCACCCCTCTGTTGTCGGAAGCTGATATCACTTCCTGACAAGGCCGTGTTGTAGAAGCTATTGAGACTCTGACTGCTTTGTGCTTTAGAAACTTAAGATTCGTAAAGACTCATATTTGGGGTTTTCCGGTCCTTTAATTTCGGGTGTTTAAAGAGAAGAGCAAGAGTCTAGAGCTAAGCTGGTGGGCGTCCGGACCGGAATATAATCCATTCTTGACACCCGTGGGGAGATGATTTTCACCCCAAACTTGGCACCATTTTGTAGCTTAGGTCCGGACTTACTGTATCCCCCTCTTCAACTTGCCCGTTCAAATCCCCATGTGCACACCATGTTCAAGCATGTTTGCCAAGCACTTGGCTCTCTCTCGTGCGCTCACTGGTCGTCCCCCTCTCTGGACTTCCTTTTGCAACACCTCAGGTTACCCTCTTGAAACTGGGCGCGGATCCGGAGAAGAAGACCTACACGGGCCACACCCCAATAGAGGCCAGACATCAAAAGTGTGATCTGACCCAGCCGATCTTGTGATGTTTCTCTCCCTTGTGGAGGCTGTAAACCAAGATTTCAGGAGGACCTCCTGGGACCGACCTGGTTGAGCGATGGCCTCCAACCTACTAGCAACCTCCCGGAATCATTTCAGGAAGGCTTACTGACCCAACATGGTTCTTGGCGCTCTCGAGCAGATCTCGCTTGATTTGGTTCGTTGCCATGTCGAAGATGTCACAACATCCCTCGGAATGAACACACATCGAGACTGACACCACTGGATTCCGGAGTTAATTCTTTTGAGGACTCCGCTATATTGGTAATTCTCGTTGACCTTATTTAACATGTGTAAGCTCAGGGATGAGTGTTCACCGTGCAGAATGGCAGAACTTGGTGTTTTGCATGGAGGTCGCTAATGCCGTGGACCCTTCTCAAGCAGAGAAGATGCGCCTGGCAGCTATAGGCATGGAGGGATGAAATGATGTGGGTCACAAAGCCTAGCACAAGGTCAATCAAGTGGAGGTGTCAGTAATTTGCCTTGAATAGACACATCACCACCAATTGTTCGCCATCACTGTTGTGTGGCCCAGGCCTGGGTGTGGACCCCCAGGCCTTGTCCCCTCAACTTGGGTGGAGTAGCCCCGCCTGTTTGCCTAGTAGTGCAAGGGGGGATTGAGGTCCGACGCGTGGAGGGCCCGAAGGCGGCCGTCCATTCCGCTCAGTCCCTCTATTCGCTCAAAGTCTGTCACGCTGTTTCAGACATGAACATAGCAATGGCTTCGACTCATGCCAGAAAAGACGTAGTGGATGCATAGCAACATGTCTGGAATTTCAGTCAGTTGAAGGCTCCGTAGTAGTAACATTCTATCTATGGTTGCCCGGAAGGCGCTCGGGCAGTGTGACGAAGGCGTTGGTGGCTGGCTCCCTGGTGGCTTCGGGGGGTGGGGTTGGGGCCTAGCCGCCCAGCCTATGTAGATCTCAAGTGGTTTTCTTATTGCCAACTTAAGGATATGAACGTTATGTTCATTCATGCCGAGCCGAACAGTTCTGTGAAAGCCAACGTTCGGCAGCAACGGACTTTCACACCTGAAAGTGCATGGAGAATTCACCAAATTTACCCACAGGATCCCACAGGTTTCTTCTTGTTGATATACAATATTTGCATCTGCCATATCTATCTATAATATACTTGTTCTTTGGATTTAGCATGTGCTTGATACTATACAATTACTTGACACTTGTGCTCGTGGAATGCAAGAGCATCCACTCTTCTGCTCGATATGAGGGCGAATTTGGTAGTGTTCCTAGCACTTGGCTCGAGGCATTGGTCAGCTGCCAAGCTGAATAGCTTAGGCTTCAGTGCGTAGCACTGGAGTCTGTAGATATGATACGCAGGTACGCCTTCGGTTTCATGAATACTCTAGACTCTAGCAAAGAGTTTTGGGTCTTGCCGGCAAGTTGCTGTTGCCGGTCATGTGTCTTGTTGTTTTTACTGTGGCCTGTCTCGTTCATCATCTCGAAAGCCGGTTTGTTGGAGTCCTCCCCAGGCCGGACGTGAGCGCCGTTTGAATGGCAAAGACCATGGACCGCACGCCGATGAGATGGAGATGGACACTGACAGTTGAACACGCTTATGGTTCAGCGTGTCCCACCTTCTTTCCAAAAAATTGTGGTTGGATCATTTTGGCGAGCGGTGGACAATTCATGCTGTCGAAAGAGTGGCAAGGACTGCAAAATGAGCCTTCCTTGCTAAAAGGACCCAAAAAAAGGTCGACGCAACCCCTTCAAGTCAAACAAATCTGAATGGGGTGCTACTAGTTGCTGAGTTTCGTGTGGGTTGTCCAACACGCTGTGAATGCTCACCGAAAAGAGGCGACTGAGCCTGGCTGTGGTGTGTCGAAGACAAGTGTTTTGCATTCCTCAAGTCTTTATCGCCCAGCAAGTGTTTTACATTCATAAAGTCCAAGCAAATGAGAGTCATCGTGCATATCGAGTGCATCTCACGCGCCAGCATTGCCACCACATGGCTCTGAATTACGACCTGGGTGTCTACTTTGAGGCTGCGCGCCGGCATGGCGCATTGCCACCACTTGGTCGGACGACATGGTTCTGAACGGTTCGCACTCTGGCTTGGATGGCTGTGGCTTGTGCCATGCGACCGACCGATCGGTGGCGGTTCAGGCGAACGGCCACGGCACCCTCCTGTTCAGCCAGAAGGCGATCGATCGCATGCAGCCAGGGACCTTAGGGACCGGTTGGGTCGCGGATGGTCGCGACGAGTCCACGACGCGCCGTGCAAGACCGTCCAGGTCGATTGCCAACACCGGAGGTGGCCGGCGGCTGAACACATCCTGCCGAAGTGTCGTCACTTGAGGGCTTTGTGGATCTGAAGTTGGCGTTGACTTTGGCAATATGTTCAAAAGGAAACACTTGACTGGATGCTCAAACCAAAGCCTTAGCTCACAGCTTTAAACATACTTTCGAAAGCGTCACGGCCCAGCCCATGCAACCACGCCTTGACCGGATGAAAGATTGAAGGATCTCAGGGAACCAATGTGTCTACTGAGAAACGTCCATTGATATATCTACTTTGGCTGTTTTGGCACCATTCAGAATCCTTTTTTCACAGTACGTGCCGAAGTTGAGCGCAACTTGACTTCAGTCGCACTGGAAACAACAAGAAAGAAGATGGACATACTAGTAAAGGGTTGTACTTATTCCGAGCATGGAAGAATTCAAAGAATCGTTTCTGACTTTCTGAACCAGTTTCCATCAGTTTCCTTTGCATCATGAACCTCAGCCAACAGCCCTTCCGCATGGCGCTGGCTGCACCAGTGAATGTCAGCGGTCTTCGTGCAGTCCGCGCTCGAGCCAAGCAGCCCTTTGTGACGCAGGCGGATACACGGTGGATTGACGCACGGCGGATACACTTCTGCAGCTGAAGCCATTGAAATTCCCATGACCCTGCATAGGTTTTCAGAGATAAGTAAAGCCACAGGTCAAAACAGTTCAAAAGGATTCCAAAGGACATATGTCCCGAATCGCTTCCAAGTTCATAAATCTGGACTCGTCCATCTCGAGGTACCAAATGAGGCAGCAAAGGGCGTTGTTTTCGGTACACCAGCTTGGCTTCTTGATGCCAGGTGTCACGACTCTCACGCCTGCTTTCTCCAGCTTTGATTTCTGCTGGATTGCTAACAGGCTGGGACATGGGTGGTGCCAAGGAGTTGCACATGGGCTCCATGCACAAAAATCCGGGTGTCAATCAACCTGCAGCGCAGACGATCTCAGGCTTCAGGACATGTGGTCGGCAGCCCAGGCGGGAGAGCTTGGCCATGATGCCATGGTGGCTTTGCGTTTCTCGAAATGTTTGAGCGGTGAGGGAAGTGAAGCAAAGAGCTTTACTAAAGCAGCGAGCAAATAAACAAATGCAACATCTAGTCTAGAAGCACAGCACAGCAGGTAAACTACATACAGGCGGTTCCAGGTTTCCAGGCTTCTGTATGCAAGCAGACCTGCCCAGTTGGCTTCCAGGCTCCGCCTCGCTGCCACCACGCGGGTCACCGTGTCGCAGGCGCGTCTCGCGCGTATCGCTTCGGGGTCACGGGTCGGCCGGTCGTGCGGGAAGGCGCACGGTACTCTCCCTGGAAGTAACATTGAAGTGGATGGCACCTACTCTCCACGTGGTGGATTTCATGGTCTTCCAAGAGGCCAGAACGTCCACTTCCATGTTAGTTCCAGGGAGTGTCAGTTAGGTGAGATATTGTGAGTGCGCAGGGGAGTTAGCCTGGGTAGCCGTAGCCGCAGCCTGAAAACGAAGACGGACTGGGCAGCTGGGCTGGGCTTGTTCGGACTGTTTTCCCAACCAACTGGTAGTTTAGATTAGTTTAGTATATCTATCATTATTTATCTATGATACTTTTGTTTCTATCTTCATGACTGAACTTCATAAAGCATGCTTAACGGACGGCTTACAGCTTCTGTGAGAGTCACAGATGTCTGATGTCTTAAAGGACTGGCTTGACGACAACGCGGAAAACAAAAACGAGAGGACAATGTGGCGCTGGTCTTTCTGAAGCCACATGCATCAACGCCAAGGGCAGGAAGCTGAGGATTCGCAGTTCTGCTGAAGACGTCTTCGTCGAAGCGTCTTTCCGTTTTCACCAGGTTTCTCAGCACACCCGCATTGGCATAGCTGCACATAGCTGCGCAGAGCAGCTTACCGATCGCCAAGGTCAGGGAGCTGATCCCTCACTTTTTGGAGGAGCAGGGTATTAAGGCGATGGCTCTCACCGGCAATTGTTTCAGCTTCTTTCATCAGCAGCTGGATGAAACAAGTTACTTCAATGTTCGTTCGTTTAGCAAAGCTGCAAAGGGCCTTATATTTCATGTCAGGACTTTTTCTTGAAATTCTTGAAGTTCCCATTCACTTTCCACGCACTCCCGCCGAGGTCATTTGTTAGTTCGCACATGTATCTTGACCGATGGGGACCTCCTCGAACCTGTTCCCACAGACAGAAAGATAGTGAGAAACCGTTTTTTCATGTCTCTATATATATATACTGTATATACTGTATATATTACTCTTTTTCAACCCCCCATATGAAGTGGTGTTATTCAATTGGGGGGGCTATTATGATCCACGAACCTTGTGATGTGAACAAAAGAGATCGAAGGTCTTGCGATCGGGCGTGGTGGAGTCCAAGGAGATTGAGGACGCAACAAACACTCTGCGGAACGTTTTTCTGTGCGTTTCGGCAACTAGAAGGAGCCTGGAAAATTGTTGGAACTGATGTCATCAGTGCTTGTTTGGTCGGAATGGATCAATGGCCTGGAAGAGAGACTTAGCGAACTGCAAGGCACGCCTCCGTCCTGATATCAAAAGTATTATCAAGACCACTCTGCAGCCTACTGATCGAGGATGAAAGCAGAAAGTGCACGGCGGTCCGGTGATGTTCGCCTAGCAGCCGAATTACTTTTCTCCCTTGCCTTGTCTAAACATGACTGGTTCGGTAAGGCTCTAAAATTTCCCGTTTGTCTCCAAACCTGAGGTAGGCATCGCCACCGCGGCACGTTGAGATAATCAGTTCGTTCATGTTCGTTCCAAACTTCCACTCCTTAGGTCCTTCCCTTCGTGCCAGGAGAAGGGCATCATTGACGCACACTATGCAGCCATTGCCGCTGTTGGAATGGTTGGAGCCTCAGCACAGCGCCATCCGCCCAGCAGCGCCATCCGCCAGCAGCTGTCAGTCCAGTGCTAAGGCCCGAGACATGAGCAAGCTCCGCCCGGCACTCGCACTATCGCACCGAGACGAAGTCATGTGTGATGGTCTGGGTTCGTCTCGGGCTGGAAACCGTGACTTTCACAGATTTGCACCACCTGTTGAAGGAGTTGGAAGCAACCCACTTCCAGCACCTGACAGAAGTTCATCTGTCAGTGTCTTTGTCCTCACATGGTCTTTCCTGAGGCCTGGACGAAGTTGCACAGAAGTTTGAGGTTTATGGGAGGTGCGAGCAGTTCGATGTCCGGTCGATCAGACCAGACGCTGGGAAATTGCACGAAGACATGGATGCAACCCACCGGGAGGAGAGACTCTCGCATCTCTGTGCTTGGTCGATCTCCTTGGTGCCAATGGTTATGCTGTTCTGAACATGGTTTTGTCATCAGATTATTTTCACAAACCACAGCGGTCGTGGCCTTCCAATCCCAGGTTGTTATTTTGAGACACATGCACTATCACTAGCCAGCATCAACGAATTCCGGTTCAGCCAAGTGCCAATGCAGTCTTGAGAGTTCCACTTCTTGACTGAACTCCGGTCGCCTCGCGGAAGACGAAGCATTTGGGTTGAACGCGTCTCCTGCGGCATCGCCACCGTCGCGTCCGACCGCCACGGCAGGAGTTTGAAGGATGCCATGGAGCGAGAGGAAGTCTGCAGCAGCGTTCAAGCCATGGAGGTCGGTAACTCGGTGAAAGGAATGGTCGACAGAGCTCAGTGAGAAAGGAGGAACGCCACAATAATTCGGTTTGCTTTTGCCTAATGTCTAACACCATGAACTTACAAAACAACTTAGCATTCGGAAGTCTAACAAACATTTCTTGTGAGTTACCATGTCTAGCAACAACATCGGTTTGTTCCAGCTAGCACCATAATTGGACTCAATATATCAGCATGATGATCCTGATCATGTGCGGTGGTCTCAATCAACCACTCAAATCTATCCCGAGCAACTCATCAATGAACTTGGATTGACCGTGCACCAAATGGCACGACACACACCTCGTCAAATGGCACGCCCCGTTGGGTTTTGAAGTGCAGCTGGACATACCCAGCCTGGACATAGGATCTGGTACCTGGACCCGACCCGTGCTCCTTCTCTGCGCGCGCGAGATCTTGGATGTGGATCCCTCTGAGCTGCTGCGGCGATGCTTAGCTGCAGGCTATGAGAAGCTGAGGCCAGGCACTGCGGGAAGCTTCCCGGGCCAAGCGTGTGCATGTTCTTTAAGGTTCGATCTGCAGATCTTGAAATCTGACATTTCAGACATTGTGAGCATCGGTTGAAACATGTTCACATCATTTCATATCTATTCATCAATAATAGAAAACGAACAGCACATGTTCAGCTCATTTAGAGGCTCGAAAATCCGGGATTCCCTTGCTCCAGATGTTTCCGGCCTGGATTGCTCTTGTCGATTTAGACGCTTCCTCTCGTGGAAGCCTTTTGCTCTCGGCTGGCAGCACGCCAACGGCGCCAACTCCAAGCTCATGTCAGCACTAGAAACCCATTTGTGTACGCCGATCCACTGTGTCATTCAAATCCACAAATTGGCTGTGTAGCAAAGTCGAGCCCTCAAGTGAGAAGACACCACAGAACAGGAACAAACTTCACACAGTCCAGATGCAACAAGAAACTCTACAGAAGTGCTCAGCACGGGATGTCGTCAGGTCAGGATTATACTGTGCGCGCTTGGAAGGTGGCAAGACTGGAGAGCGGCCCAGCAGCATTGCCGAAACCAACACTGCCACAGGGCGATGACTCAGCTTACGACTTGGATCCACCATATGTAGGCTCTTGATAAACACACCACCCATTTGAATTGAAACACCTCTATAGAACCAAGAGTCTACATTCAGGAGTCCTTCCATCCAGTCATCCGATCGGCTTGAACTACCCCAGCCGAACAGCAGGACTCAGTCTCCTGTTCGGAAAAGACGTGAAACAACTTGGTGGTTTTTCCACAAGGCGGTTTACCCCGTTGAGCCAGGTCCACCTGTGGGGGCTTCCAGAGTTGAGTGAATTGCTTTGGACTAAGGCTGTTCGTGCTGAACGGCTTCTACTCGCGAATGCGTGAGAAGCCGATTTCTGAGAGCCCAGAGGGGGCCAGTACTGCAGAGGAATCTATCCAAATCGCAAGGAACAGTTAAGTGTACATCAGATATCATCATGTATCCGGAATGCACAATGCTGATCCGGGTCAATCCTTGGCTGGTTGTGGTGGAAGCCCGGAGATCCTTTCACTGATCTTTACAGGTCCTGTCGCGCTGTCAGCAGCAAGAACGTTTTGATTCCAGGATCATCTTAATGAAAGACGAGATTTTAATTGCAACGGGGACTAGTATGTTTTATATTTTATGTTTTCTTTTCTTTCTCTTTCTCTTTCCCTTTCTCTCTCTCTCTCTCAGATTGTTATTGTGTCCCATTTCTCCTCGAGCCCCTCATGAGGTTTACCGCTGAAGGTGTTACAGTACACTGGCATGTGGTAAGCTGGCCAGCTTCAAGGCTGCTGGGGGCCCCATGAACTACCAGGGGCGACTGGTGAGGATCAACACCATGGGTGCGATCAAAACATGGCGACTCGCTGCGGAGGGCGGAGGCCAGGTGGTCCAAAACGAAGGGGTTCAAAGGGTCCAACGAACAGAGGAAGTGGTCGTTCCACCATCGTTCGCATGTTTGACTGGAACACCTAAGGCTTTGATGCCATCGGCTTCCCAAGGTCTTGGGCTGACTTCAGAAGCACCGTCATCGGCGCAACGAATCCAAAGGCCAGAGAAGCAGTGGAATTAGAAGGTTTCCGCACAGCGGTCGATGCAAAGGTGAGCACTTCTAGTTAATTTGAGCAGACATGAGCTTGAAGATTGAACTAGAATCCTTTGTACAATTCGCAGGATGCTACAGATGGTTCGTTGAGAGCACGGACTGCGGAGAGTCAGAAGCACTCATTTACATTCATTTACCTATAGTTGTTCCATGTTTTTCCCCCTGTTTCGAGGGCAGCAGCTTCCTGCAAAGAACCCTAGCTCTCTTCCGTCCTTGCTACTAATAGCTTCCAAGTTTGCTAGCTGCCTAGTTCTGTCACACCCTGCTCTTGGCAACCTCCCTTGCTCGTTAGAAAGAATTACACAAGACAAGATGTTTAAGACTTCGCGGGGCTAAACATCAGGCAGAGATGTAGATACATCAAGCAGTGCCATTTTGGTTGCTTCTTGGGGTGGCGTATACAATAGAAACTGAGTGTGAAGAAGCCGATTGCTTTAGCTGTTTGCACCGACGGTCTTCCTTCGTCCACGGTAGCGCCCCGGGCCTCAGGGCCGAAACAGCCAGCCTCACCAGACCAACAGCACGGAGAAGTGTCAGATCAAGAGCATCCAAAGCAGAAGGATAAGGCCCGTGCCACCCTCACTGGATAAGCCCCCTGCGGATCACAGCAAAAGCCAAGCAGATCCCTGGGAACCGTTCGCATGTTCACATCCGCGGCCTGAAGACCATCTCGAATGACTGTTGAAGCAACTGACCTCGAGAAGCCCAGAAGCATCCACTTCGGCTCCTCGAGGCGAAGTGTTTTCTTGGTCGTCATGACGTGATGTAAGCTGTAGCTTCTTATGTTCTATAGCAACCTGTAAATGCCGGGACTGTGGCCCGGCCCTGTCCATGCCAGTTGTCAGTCTGAGACTGGCATGATGCATGGACTTCCAGTAGTTGCCTTGAAGAGACGTTCACCATAAGCATTGACCTAACGTCAAGTTGTTCGACAGATGAAGTGGTGCATTTCTTCGTTCACCGTTCCTGACGGTTCCTTGATGCGCCACACCAAACGGATGAACGAAGGCGGTAAAGTGTGTGTGAAGAAAGCACAGCTCATGCTGTTTGTTGAGTTTGGTCCGGACTCAGTTAAACTTATGTATAGCTTGTTTGCACCTGTCTTTGGGCTTGATGGTTTGCTTTCGGAGTACACACATTTCCTCTTGTTCTTTTCTATATACTTTGACTTCAGAAAGTGCCAAAGATGCAGAGAATCTACCCCAAACAACACAAACAACCACGACCAGACCTCAACATGACTGTATGAAGCACGTGACAGTCCAGGATCAGAGATGATTGGGAGGCTTTGGGATTGAAGGAGGAGACCAATTACCAGGTGCGCCCATCTTCCGGCACGGTCCGAAGTCTTTTTCGGACGGTCCGCAACGCGGGTCGAAAGAACCAAGTCAGTGCCGAGTGACATGTTGTCTTCCATTGGCTTAAGAAAAGAAGTCAGTAGTTCCTGTCCAATCTTGGACAGTTCCTCTTCAAAGACACGTTTGGTTTGCCACCTGTTCATCTTCAAAGTTCCCACGAGATCTTCAACTGTGCTCGTCCCTCTTCATACCTCTTGATGATGGGATGAAGATGAAGGGACATTTCAATACATTTGATGATTTTGCGGTGGGACGTCATGGGGCAGAAGACGTCATGGCTTGTTTCGTGAGGCACGTCAGTATATCTGAATCTAACAGAACTTTCTTTCTTCCTTTGGACCCTTTCTCCCTTTCTTTTCCGTTCTTTGTTAAGCCAAGCCGCTACGAGGACAATGGCGTGCATGCCTCTGCCGGGCCATTGGAGGCGCTTCGGGAGCGCATGGCCGGGGGCCTCAGAGTCGGGTCGTCGGTTCATGGTTTGTATGAAATTGGAAGAGTTGTCCAGAGGACTTTGGTTTCAATCTGTTTCAATCTGTTTCAATGATATATTGAAACATGAGGTTCTTGCTTGGCAATCCATGAAAAAAGAGGTGCTCTCTCTAGTGTAACGTCACCATCCTGGCCGAACAGTCGCCGCATGGTTGATGCTCTCCCGCGCAGTCACCGTGCGCCAATTCGGAGAGTGTTTGCATAGAGACTTGGTCCAGCACCCGCAAATGCGGGAAACATGAAACGTGCATCCGTTCAGGTTCATGATTCAATTATGTTTGATGTATATAGACTCTTCGTTAATAATAACCCCCGCAATTGGAGAATCGTCTTCAGATGGGGGGTTTATTAATCCAGAGTCTACATTAATTACTGAGATGTAGGGTGATGGCATCAAGTTGTAGAGCTGTTGAGGTTTGTTGATGAGGCAGGCTGTAGTGGGATGGCCAGGCTTCCTTCTGGGGTTGGTGCTGGAGTCGTTAGATATGGAACTTCCCAGGATGCGAAGCAAAGGTTGGCAGTGACTCCATATTTGTCTCACCCTTTGGCATCTTTCGGCCGGTCTCATGAGTTTGCTGGGATTGTCCAGCCGAACAGAACCGATGTGCTACCTAACCGATCATGCTCACACACCCGACCTTCCAGCTTGCAGCAAGCACACTACATGAGGACCCCAACAAGGCTACAAGACAAATCTGAGGCCTCAATATGGCCTCATAATTACACTAGGAGCAAGGACGCTACTAGGGGCTCCTGGCCGTACTATTAGGAGCAAGTAGCTACTAGTAACAATGTGCGCTACTAGGGGCTCCTGGCATCGCTACTAGGAGCAAGGACGCTATGAACGGGGCAGTGTGCATGTGCGTGCAGTCCGGCCAAGGCAGCCAGCCTACTGAGCCTCTTTGCCAGCCCCAACGCCCCACAACCATCTAAGCCATGCAAATACCACACCAAAAGAAGTGATTAACCAAGTTCCACACTCCTGCACATCAAGCATGGGCTCACTTTTCCCGCAGTATCTTCTCAGCACCAACCGCAGGGGATCAGGATGATTAAATTACATCGTTATTGCTTTTTTGGCAGTTTTAGGTCTACCATTTCCTAGTGGATAAGATTTGAGCACTGGGATGACAGATCTGGCAAAGGTGTGGCTTGGCGACGACATAGAAGCCGACAGCTTTGGCAGGGGACCACAGAAAGAATTCAGATGACACAACCTCTTGTGAAGGAATGGGCTTGTTGGTTTGGTTTCCTGCATGCAATCATTCAGCACTGCGGGGTGTTTCAGCCGCTCAGGACCACCTAAACCGCTCGCCGCTCTGGTCGTGCACCAGAGATGCTCAGGTTGTGCACTGGCATCTGCCTGTCCTATTGGTGTGAGACTCGAGCCGCGACACGGGTGGCGCGACACGGGTGGCGCGATCGTCACGTGTCGGTCGCTGTCGGTAGGTAGGTGTCCGTTGATGAGTCGAAAGGATGGGTGCTGTAGGTGTGAGCGCGTTGTCCGGGCGCTGTAGGTGTGAAAGGTGTGCCGTTGGATGGGTAGAATATGGTAGAATTTTTTGTTGTTCAGCAGCTCCTTGGAGACCTTGGATTCAGCACGTGGTGCTGCAGGTTTGAAGACCTTGGTGGAGAATCCGATCATCACAGTGGATGGGAAGACTGGTGGGGTGTCCCAAGAGATTCCAAGATGTGTCGGAGCTGCTCGTCCGCTCTTCCCTTCGGTGTTTCGATTGAAGCCCACGTATTTGTAGAAGCTGGGCGTACGATTTGTGCCTTCAATGTCCCCCTGTTTCAGGCCCCGCCTTCGATTTGCTAGAGGAAATGGATGCCAGCGAAAGCCTGGAGGCAGGGCCATCGCATATGGCCAGCCATTTTTGCAGCTATCAGACCCTCTCCTACAGTCACAAAACGTGCGAAGAAGCGTGTGACACAAAAAGGGTGCGATCAAGATGGTCCGTTCAGGACCTTTCATGCTCTCTTCCTCGAAGGCGATTGCACCTCCACCCAAAGCTCGTCTCGCCCTTTTCAATAACCAAATAGACCTAGCATCAGCCTGCGCCAGCAACAGCATACTCCAACCTACTAAAGTGAAGATAAGCAACTTGTGTGAGAATTGCAAGAGGCTCAACAACAAGATTCGGTTCATTCGGTTCATTTGGGCTAAAAAGAAGAACAAGCAGAGAACCCAAGCAGGAAAGAACAGCAGAGGCAAACACAGCAAGGTCACAAAATGTCAAAGCAGAGCCGAGCCAAGCAGAGCCTTGGAGTAGCTTCTTGCTACTAGTAGTAATGCCAGGAGCTACTAGTAGCTTCTTGTTACTAGTGGTTTCACAATGTTTCACGATGCTTCACGATTTTCAATGGCTTTTTCGCGATTTACTTCATAACGAAGGGTCGGCTCTTCCCATGGTGACCCAAGCTTCGACCCTCCCAGGGGCAAAAAACAGTTCTCGTGCGTCCCGCCAAGATTCTTCCACCACCGTGCAGGCTCTTGCATCTGCAGAGTTGAGCCAATAGGCTTTGGCAGAGCGCATTCATGTCAAAAAGCCGAGTTTCACTTGCCAGCAGTGTTTCCGCATCCATTCACCAAAAGAAGGTAACTAGAGACGTCCTTCCTGCTTCGTGGAATGGAGAAATCACCAAGGTGAAGCCAAATTGGCAGCTGAGAAGTTGTTGCTTTTGCGCGATCTCATCAACGAGACAGCCGGACCATCAGGGGCTGAGGGCCGGAGAAAGAGCGTTCGGACAGGTTGCGTCTCCCATTATACATGCATCATGGCTACCTTTCATTCACCCCAATCACATATATATATATAGCTACATGTGTTCTTACCGTGTCCCACACACTGTCTCAGGTGACATGCGTGCAGAAACTTCACGAACACGTCACTTTGCCTGTCATGAAATCTGGGTAGGTTAGTCTCTTGTAAAGACTCTGAAATCCATCATGATTGTAACAGGATTTACATGTCTCTTGGCAAGTTAGTAAAGACTCTGATCCTGATGCACTGGGACGGAATTTATGGCACAATACCATCGGCTGAAGCAGATTGTGCAAAGATAATTCCGTTTGTTATTCGTTGCCATCAGGTAGGTGACGCAATCTCCGTCTTCCTTGCAGTGGAGGCCAGGATTGACCCAAATGGACAAACAAACATGTTTCCGGAGATTCCTCTGAAGTGTAACTTTTTTCAAGTGATTCATTTCACTTGCAACTAGGCTCAGGCTTATGAGGCACCATATATGATATACTGTACATATTGGGTCTGTCCTATTACCTGTAACAGTCAGTATACAATTCATCCACTGTAGTGGGATAGACCCAATATAAATAGTGGCCTTGCTGCCTCAAAATTGGGTGATCCACAGCTACCGAACGTGCCACAGCGAAGCACTGACCTCGAGTGATGTGTCGAAAAAGAGGTGACTGGGTTGGGGAGCAGGACCTCGGAGAAAGCTTTCTGGGATATGTTCCATACATGCAAGACTTGTAACAGTGTCACCAATTGCGCAAGCATGATTGCCATTTGTCCATTCAAGCACACCTCCCTGAACGGCACCTTAATCTTGACAGAAAAAACAAGTAAAAATAAAAGAGCAACATAATGTTCAGCAAGAAACGTAAAGCTCGACTTGAGTCGGTAGCAGTCGCTGTCGGAATGTCTCTGCTTGGTGAAACACCATGTGGAGCTGCAAAAAGTACATGAGCTTGCGCTTCTCCTACCAAATGCAAACCTGCGGTATTTTGTATACGCCATGTATGCCATATTTACCGGATGTTTATTGCTTCCCTGAGCAGCACTTGGGAACGATTTCTTGATGTTGCTGGGAAGAGGATGTAACGTTGATGACTTGGTTGCGAAGACAGTCAATTCAAATCCTATCTCGTTGGAAAGCGATTGGAGCTTGGTTTTTTGAGGAGCCAGCAAAGTAGACGAAGATGGAGGGATAGAGGCTTTCATCCCTAAGCCCTAAGCTATTTTAGAGGCTTCACCAAACTGGCAGTTGCCTGCTTGCAGTGCCCCTCATCGCTTCATCAGGGTTCATCATGATGAAAGGTCATCGAATTTGATGATGCGATGAAATGGTCGTGGGTGAAAACCAGGATACATGGTGTTCGGGCTCCAGGTTTTGACCAATTCCCACATGGGAAGCACTTGCACTCAACTGTTTGATGGCGCAAGCAGTCCTCCCGCTGACGGAAAATTGTCATTCCTATCTCCTACTGTGTTTGACATCCAATCTCGCTCAGCATATCCAACTGGTATTACCCACACCTGAAACGCTAGAAGGCATGCCTTGTGCAGCATGAGGTGTGAGCACAATGTAGTTGCAAGTATATATAAATCAGTAACCTGCTTTTTTGTGCCGCCCAGAGAGTTTCTTTGTGAACAAAGTACCAGACAAGATCCGGCATGATCAGGATATTGACTGGATTTGCACCTGATTTGACCAGCGTGCCCTTCGATGAGGCGGTGCTGTACCTGACGGATTTGGACTGCGATGCCTGGCGCGCCTTGGACGGGACGTGTGTTTACATTTTAATACATGAAAAAAGAACACTTCTGGTGAAGCAGTGGCCTGTTGGGGGGGAACATGGGGCGTTGCCCATGACTCATGATGACGAAAATGCCAGCAGAACGTGATTCATGCGCGCGTTGGTCGGAAGCGGTGCCGTTTTCCTCGGCACGGTGGCCGGTGGCGAGCGGTGTGGGGCGGTTTGGTCGGTTTTGGCTTCGAAACGAGTCCGGTTTTGCCAAGGTCAGATGTATGACGACTTGCCCAACCGGCAAATCAAGGCACGGCACGAAATCCACGGCCATCACGGCCACCCAGCTGCTGAACGGGAGCCCCCGGAACCCGGGCCGCTGCGGGTTCGGGCCAAAAAAGGGCGGAAGGCCTGTAAGAGAAGCATCCTCAGTTTCGGAAAGGAGGTTGACACTCCCTGAAATGGTCATGGAAATGGATGGCATGGCTCCTTGGATGACCATTTTCCTTTGCAACCAGCTGGTTTTCCACTTCATTGTTTCAGGCAGGACCATCGCTCCACACAATCTCAGTGTCCATAGCATCTCCAAGCATCTCCTTGGCTCTTCAGGTGGTTGTGAAAGATCGCGGGATCTTTGAGACCTCCGACGCCGAGCGGGTGTGTGTGAAGTCCAGAGCTCAGTTTGGCCGGAACGTGACAAGAGTAACCACTCTACACTGTACACATAACTTGATTGGTGTGCTAGAGTAGTAGCAAGGAAGCTACTAGAAGCTCCTGGCATTACTACTAGGAACAAGAAGCTACTAGTAGCCGAGGGCATTACTACTAGTAGCTAGAAGCTACTAGTATGTGGGCGGTGCCACTTTCAAGACCCCAGTCTTGGAAAGCCGCCTTGGGTTCCGACCGGACTCAAGTCCTGAAAATGCTGGACGCAAGTGACGTAGGTGACGTAAGTAGATGTTTCTCCATCCGCTTTGTACTCCCCTCACACTGCTTCCATGGACCCCTCATACATGTGACAAGACCAACCCCTCGCCTCGTCTTTGCGCCAAACCTGGCGCACCACAAAATATCTATTATCGTTATCTTGCTTGTAACTCAATCTGCCCTTTGCGCGCTCCCCCGTTCGTTCGCACCGGGTCGGCAGAGAAAAAAAGTCATCATGATGATCATGGTCAGCCCTACATGCTGATGTCATTGTCATCATGCTGATGTCATTGTCATCATGATGATCATTGTCATCATGTGTGTCATCATGATGACATAAGACAATGATATAGGACATGTCAATGATCATTGTGTGTGTGTGTCATCATTGTCTGATCATTGCCCTACATGTGTGTCATCAGGACATGTCAGCCCATCAGCCCTTACACCGACAGTTCTGATTCGACTTGTGGATATTGCTGAGGCCTGAAGGCTTGCAGGCTGGGATCGATCAGTGCGTCGCCAAGGCCGGACTGGGCAGACCGAGATGCTGGGCCTTTCCGTACTCTGCTGTACTCTGAACCTCTCTTAACATCTATTTTTGCCTCAGGTCTACAACTTGGGCTCATCATGGTGTTTTTTTGGAATGGGGAGTTTGAGCAAAGAAGCTCTTGCAAATTGAAGAATGTTTGCTGTGTCCGTTCTTTGCTGTGTCAGCTGCAGGTACCCAAAGGCCGGGCCTTTGTACGCTGGAACCTGAGATGAACGAATCCGCTAAGATGATGTCCTTTGACCTGGAACAATGACTGTGTGGTTTGTAGTGTTTTTGTTGGATCCCATGTAAGGGGGTTCAAAAAGCTTCCTGCACCTATCTCTTGACCTTTCCAAGAAACAGCCCGAGCCGCACCGAACGAATCCGCCCTTCATCTCGTTTGATCGGATCGCGAATCCGTTCCCTCTGATATGGCTTCTTTTACGACGAGTCTCCACACGATGTTGGACTATTCATCCGGTGTGTTTCTTTTCTTGTGTGAAAACAGGTCTTGATACATGTCGATGGAGTGCATGTTCTTGTTGTCGTTGGCCTTTTGTATCGTGTGTATAGCCTGATTTATGGCTGGGTGAAACGTGTTCCAACAGAAAGCGGTAGACATTCTACTTTTGGTTGTGTCTTTCTAGTTTGGTGGCGTGTCCATTAGATTGGGCATGACGTGATTCCTTATGAAAGTATTCGACCTCTTTGGTTAGTTGTTACATATTGGATCTGGCTTTCACCATACTCCAAAAGACATTTGAGTCTTGTCATCCCAACGTGCTCATCTTAGAACATATTCATTTCTCAACATATTAATTATTTATATTATGTACTGGTTTTCAAGTTGAGGTTCCATTCCAATTTGGGAGTAATTTAAGACATTGAGTGCATCACTCCTGGACTCTGCTGAGGACCCAGTGGCACAGAGGATGTGGTGAGGGTGGGGCTACCCACATGTCCAGCCAGAGTGCCTTGTAACTGAATTCATCAAAGACTCAAAGATGCACCGAAGTCAAGATGCATCATGGCTCTTCCAAGCAAAAGAAGAGCCGTTTATATACTCAGAAGGACATGCCACTTGAATTATATACATATTGGATCTGTCCCATTACCTGCAACAGTCGGTAAGCAATTATCATTATTTTACAGAAAGGCCTTTTTACTAGCCATCATCATCCGCTGTTACCGGCAATAGCATATGATTTGGGTTTGTCCTATTACCGTAACAGTCAGTAAGCAACTATAACTATTTTTGAACAAGGCCTTTACTATATAACCATCATCATCCACTGTTACTGGTAATAGGATAGACCCTACCCAATATTTAGACATGGTCTCAGACGAAAGCCTGGTGCCAGGTCTACGCCGAGGCAGAGACAGTGGAGGCCATGGTGAGTTTGGCCCAGGACGCTCAACACTTTCAAAGCCTCAAGAATCAGAACTAACTAGACGAGAAGCTCTAGGGGGCTGAATGTGGTAAGTAACTTAAGTAGCTGGAGCAACTCGGTGGACTGGAGGAAAGAAAGCACCTCGAGTACTTTGAAGTTGCGAAAACAGTAAAGCATACTTTTTCTTGAGTACCATTCTTTGGCGCAGTTGTCTATATACTTTGCTGAAGCCAAGAAACACCAGAGCACGAGTGGTGCACCCGTCTTTTTTACGCGTCCAAGAATTGGGTCTTGTGCGGCACAGGAGGTGGTGGATTTGGTGTACAGCTCCGCTGGGGGCGTTCGGCGCTGAAAAGACACCCCACGTATTCGGTTTACACTTAACAGAGGCATGGAAGCCACGTGAAGATTGGCATTCCTTTTCCAAAAGTACTTTGGGAACTTGATGCAACTTGGAGATTGGGAGCCATGCAGCCATGAGTGAATTCGCACTGACAATGACTCATAACAAAACATCACATACCATTTACAGTATGCCTTCTCGCTTGCTGTCATGAGTCATGGTTGTTGACACACAGAGCGGTGGAGAATGAAGAGAAACTGGAGGTTGGTGACAAGCCGACAGTTGTCTGAAGCGTGTGAAGACTATCCGTTGTTGCTCTCACCCAAAACCACCACCCCGGTGTGAAGAATTTTCACTCCGGTTGATTCCTTGGGGGCAAAGCCTTGCATCAGATAGTTTTGCCTCGTCGAAGGAGATCCTTTGATTGACAATCGATTGATTTGACCATCGTCCTGCTTCCTTGTCTCTTGGGGTGGGTGTGTGAAAAGGCCCAACAATACCGACCCAAAGATTCTGCGTCTACCTCTACATGTCTACAAACGCGTACTGTACTTGCAATTGCTGCTTGGAAGCATGGAGACAAAAGTTTTTAATGTAGATTCAAGCCATCCGTTGAAAGGGGACAGTGCAGCAAAACAATGCTTTCACAGCCAGGAAAGTGCGGTTTGCCTTTGCAAAATATGACATTGAACAATGTTCCTTTGTGGCCGAAAGCCGAAAGCACGAATACTTGCAATCTTGGAAGACGGCTAAGAAGATATGATTAGATGCTGAAGGGTAGAATTTTCGTTCCAACTATCCTTACGCTGTGGTGTGAAGAAGATTGCGGCACTTCCATTGAAACGCAAAACACTGCAGAGAACAGACACACAACGGAAATCTCCTACCAGGTTCCGCTGGTCACCATGCAAACTTCAAAGTTGTGTCTATGTGATCCAACACATCCAGTCTTTCTTCGTTGGATTCTGACTGACGCAACGGCTTGATAGGGGACTCCTCCTCGCAGCCGTGGTGGTGAAACGGGGGTCTCCGAACGGGTGCCGCGGCTCTCCGCAGCGTCCCGTTGGGCAAGCAGCTCAGGTTTTCACGGCGTCAATCAATCAAAGATCCAACGAATGCACCCTTGAAGAAAAAACTTCTGACCAGTTCATCCTGTCCTTTGCACCGCCAGCTGAGTCTAGAACGGACGAGTCTTCCTTTCCGTGCGTTCGCGAAAGTACTGGGAACTTGAAGCAACCAGGAGTTGGCAAATCAAAGCATTGGCCCTTAAGGGTTTTCAAGTTTTCGTACGAAGTCGTCAGGCATTGCTTTATGGATCCTGATGAGACACACGAGGAGGTGAGACATCAAGAAGCAGTTTTGTGCGAGCTTTGGTGCAAGTCGTTGTGTTTGTGTGTGTGTGTGTGTCATCAGGATTGGCATTGTAAATTGTAAAGTTCCTCTTTTTCACGGCTCACGGGAACCCATTCTCCACGCTGCTGCTTGCCTTTAGCACAAATCTCTGAGAAGCATATGTCCACTTATTGTGTGAGGAGAGGGCAATGACCGCGCATTCCAAGGCCTGGGTCGGAGAGTACAGCGCGTTGTCTTTTTTTGTTTGAGGGGAAGCGCGTTGGTCGCCGAATGTCATCCTTTCATGTCCCAAAACTGATGAGAAAGGAGCAGCTGAGTCTTTGAGTCTTCGTGTGTGTTTTTGTGATGTTAGCTTGCAAGCCATTTTGCTTCAAGCTAACATCATCAAAATGGCTCCATGGCAACACACAATGGAGAAGTTGTTTGCAAGTCATGTTGCAAGCCATGTTGCCCTTCTCCACTCAAAATCCCTTTGTGGGTTGAGACTTTTTCAACTCCGCTGACGGGTCAACAGATGATGGGTCCATCGGTGTTTGACGTCTCGATCATGTGCTGACTAGCGGTGTCCTGTTGTGGTGTCAGCGGTGTGTCGGTTGAGTGTCTCCAACACATGCCGAGCATAGCACTTTAAAATCACAATTAAATGGCCCAAACTCCAGGAGATTACTGCTCTGATTGGCAAACGACTGGCACATTTGTTGTAGAGAATCACTCTGATGGCCAGTAGATAGCTTCAATTTGTTCAGTCTTCTTGCAGATGTTGTTCTCGTGGCTGTGGGTTCAAGTGTTCAGATCTATGGATAAACATCATGGATGTTCTCTTGGATGAACAATCCTGATGCCGAAAAGAGCTGGGAAGACTTCTCTATCCCAGGTAGCTCCAGAAGACCGACTACCGTTGAAGGGTGGCAATGGGGAGGCTGCCGTTGAAGGAAGCAGAATGCTGGCCTTTTCAGTTGGAGATCTTTGGAAGTTTTGGGGGCATCAAGGAACCATAGATTTGCTTGGCATCAATTGATTGGATGAAAATATCCCCCAAGCTGTTTCCACTACAGAATTTGGGGGTTAACCACCCTTGGATTTTATAGTGGAAAAAAAATTTTCCACTATAAAATCTGGGGTCCACTATAGAATTAAGAGTGTAACTATACAAGGAACCGAAGAGAGTTGGATATAAAACCATAGCAGAATTATTTTATAGCAAGTTGAAGGCTAACAGTTTGGCATGTTGAGATCCTGATTCTAGAGTATGTGAGGCGCAGGCTATTTTATAGCGAGACAGTTTTTGAATGTTTTTGATGCGTTTGCCGTGCCCCATTATTTTTTTGGATCTGGTAGATGGTCAGAGATGCGTAGTCCCGAGTGCACCTGAGCAATGGTCTTGGAAACGATTGTCATAATGCTTGCTGTGGGATTGGCTTTGCTGCTCCCAACGATTGAGATGGTGCTATGTTTCATTTTGAAGCAAAGTGCCAAACCGAAGGCCAACTCCGCTTCTGTACCATTGGGACAACCTGAACCAGCCAATGTCATGGTAGTTCATGCATCCTCACAGACAGAATCACCCATTGTTGCTCACTTGGTGCGCGTTGCCCCAGCTACTATGCGACCAGAAGAGCCTGAGGATGACGACGAAAGTAGTGATGAATGGAGCTTTGAGAGCCCAGGAGGTAGGCATACACGAAAAGTGAAGCCTCGAAAACTCAGGAATCGCTGGGGCTTGGAAAACCAATTTATAGACTAGAAGTTTGGGTTTGTGCCGTACATTAAAGTTAGATGCCAAGACTATCCAAATGTGGGTGATTAAGGCAAATGAGGCCATGCTATGCGTGGCTGCTGACGTGCCTGCTGTGGAAGAAAACAAACAAATCAACAGATCGGGCAAGGAGGGCACAGAGGATTGGAATGGTTTGTACAGTAACTCAACATAACTTAACCATACTTAACCAGTTTCCTCTACTACAAAATAAAAAATCACAGTTAACAAGACACCAGGTCACTATAGAATCAGGATTGAAATGCTTTGTGTGATAATTCAACCATTTCCTGTTACTATAAAATAAAGAATGAGCCTAAAACGACACATCAAAGAAGACACTAGGTCACTATAGAATTAGGCTTGGAGTGGTTTGTGCAGCAACTCAGCCAGTCTCTTTCACTACAAAATTAAGAAAACACATTTGAGAAGACACCAGGTCACTATAGAATCAGGATTTGAGCATTCTGGAAATGTTTTCCAGCTGATTTTTGTCCTTTTTCTTCTCGGCTCAGTCAAAACAAGTGCTCACCCACTAAAACTACGTCTGAGACTGAGAGTAGGACGGACGCGTGATTCGCTCATGTTCGTTGCAGTGCTTTTTGCTTCCTGCTTGTGGTTGCCATGTCAGAGTGTCCTTCCCAAATTAGAGCAAGATGCAACTTGCTCAGTGCCAGAAAGCCAGCGTCTGGGCTGAGAGACAATGGGCCAAAGGGGGCAAATCAGGATTGACAGGGAACGGAGGTCACTCAGAACCGTTGATTTCAATCATCCAAGGTGGTTCTGTGCAGAGATGCATCGCATGGAGATCCAAGAATGGGCCAACAAGTGGGATGCAATAGAGAAGCGTTACTTACATCTGGTCGATGCATTTAGTGTGTCACAAGGCCTTACGATTCTTGACTGGGGTTGTATGGTTCTATGTTTATCTATTTTTTATATTTTTTAATTAATCTTTTGTGTATATATATATATAAGATTATATAAGTATATATATATATAATGGTTATATTTATTCGGTTGTTTGTATGTTTTTGGCAAATTGATTCAGTATAGTTCTGTATGATCCCTCAGGAAACAGTGGCGCAAGGGTGGGCACGCAGCAGAGGCCTTTGACATCAAGAAAGCCCGCATTGAGGATTTGGTGACGAAAGCCGGCTTCTATCTTCTTTTGAGCCTTACCCTGGCGCTTCTCTGGCTTGTATCTATGTTTTTTTTATTTGAGAGAACTCCGGCATACTCCTGCGATCTTTCATTCTGTCCACTGTCCATTCATGTCCAACCTCAGGTTGGTGCCAGGTGGCATTTTTTTCGGAGCTCCACCTTGCTCTTTGTTTGTGGGAGCATCTGCATCGCTTCATATGCGGTCAATCTTTCAACCTTGGGGTGATACAGCTGCATTTTCTGTGCGACTAAGCAACAGAATCTGGCGGAATATGGTGCCTCGTATGCATGCGCTCTGACCACTGCATGCAGTCAAGAACCACATTTCAAATTGACACGTTTAGAATCGTTTAGGTTGGCTTGCTTAGGGGGATGAATTAGTTTTGCAAACTCTCCCATGATCTCCCATGCCTGTCATACTTAGTTTGAGCTTCTGGACTTGGTTGTGGCTATGAAGCGGCATATCATCATCACCTTGGAGCAGCCTTCCAGCTCGCGGGGCTTCAAGTTGCCGTGTATGATGCACCTAGCAAAGGATGCCAACATGCTCCACAGATTTGCTGAGCATTCTATTTTACGTAGTTTTTTTTTTAATGTTTGCTTATGTTCGTTTTTTTACAGTATATGTTTTTTTCTGGTGGCATTGCTGAGATATATCCTGAACCTTCCTGAAGTTGTTCAGTTTTTGTTAACATGCCGCACACAGGTCCGTGACAAACACTTGGCAAGCATTCTGGGGTTCAGACCTCGCTAAGCCTACGCACTTGCTTTCGAGTTCCAGGAGTTTGGTGCTACAAAATCAGAATTTGTATGGAATTTTAGTTTGTGTTGGTAAAATATTGAGATGCTGAGATTTGAAACACACACATAACTTGCTAATGAATTGTGTTTATTCTTGTTCATCTGTTTTTGATTGGCTTTGTTCTTTTGAATGATTTTGTTTGCAATGGAAGGACTACACAGAAGCTGAAGAGAGTGCTGACACGCGCCAAGCGAGAATCATTTGCGGAATCTCGAAATGCGAATAGATCTGAAAACATTCGAAGACAACTTTTGCTTGTAGATTTTATGCACTGTGGATTTGTTAGATCGAGAATCCAGATCAGTTTACTACAAAATGAAAAAACATATTTCCAAAGACACCAGGCCACTATAGATTCAGGAGTTGTTTAGCTTTTATAGTTTTCCCTTGTATCCCCCCAGGTCCCTCCAGCAATTTAATCCACTATAAAATCAAAAAACAACCATTTAACAAGACACCAGGTCACTATAGAATTAGGAATTGAATGGATGTGAATCAATTGACATTTCCCCTGAAAGCCCCTCAAGCCAGGTTCCTACACTATGAAATTAAAGAAACTCATCTAACAAGACAACAGGTCACTATAGAATCTGGATTGGTATAGTGTTCAATTGCATTTTGGTTTCCAATTGGATCCAATTGTTCAACTCACACCCCTTACAGATCCTTACAGTACATACATGTTCAATCATGTTCATGAGTTGCGCTGAGGAGAGGCTCAAGAAGAGGAACCAGAAGCGAAAGTTTCCGAAGAAGTACTACAAGGTGTATACCAAGTCCGATGGGTCACGTGCATGGGCAGGTCTAAAGGATCTTAAAGCAACGGCCCAGTATCCAGCGGCTTTTTGCAAGGCCATCTACAAATGCTGGTTGGTCGATTTTTCCAGCCAGCCGCAAGGCAGCTGAAGCATTTTGTGTTCAGCAAGTCCCTGATCTGCGCAAAGCCTGGGCAGATTGAGAGTTGCACGTACGGGATGCTTTCGATGCAACTCGAGATGAACCAAATACATTTCCAGCGAGTTTCAGAAGTTGTTCATACTGTTTCGATCTTTCATTCTCCTTCGATGTCTTTTGTACTCTGGCTGCTTCATTCAATTCGCATTCTTGCTTTCATGGTTCAGTTGCAGGAAGATGCCTTTGGCCACCGGTCGAGAATACAAAAGAGCAATAACATACATCAAAAGAGCAATAAAATACACAAGAGCAACCGGTTGAGAATGCAATAAAGAAATACAAATAGTTATATAGAGCACACATGCAGCACCATTCAATAGATTTAAACATATACATAGAGTATTAGAGAGTTTGATAGACATTCTATGTATTTCGCAGTATGTTTATGTATTTTTCATGTTTTACTAGTGCTGTTGCTGGCTTCTCAGCTATGGTGGTGGCCAAATGGACCGTGAGACGTTTCGAGAGTGTCAAATGGAGCGGTGGAGAGAGGGCAACACGGTATTACTGTGCAACCCCCAGACCTTTGCCAGAAAACGCTATCAAGATTTCACACGAATGATTCTAAAAACACATAAAATGAATATATCATAATATATATATATAGCTACTTTTTGCCTTCCAGCGGTTTGTTGCAACTGCTGTGTTGCAAAGCGTAAGTGCCCGTCTGAACAGATTCCTACATGTTCACCGTGGATGACGTCTTCTTAAAGACGTTCCGGAGCAAGAAGGAGGCTTTGAGCTTCTGTCAGGAGAAGCGGCTGGAGGAGGTGCTGCGGTTTTGTGGTAGAATTTTTGGGAAATGCTTTGTCCTTCGGAATGCTTTGGATGGTCTTGAATTTGTTTTAAACATGTTCTGGGCTTCTGGCGGCATTTGACATTTGAATCTCTCCACAGAATTTCACTGACAGGTGAATTTCGACACGCTGACGGAAACTGCGCGGGAGGAAGAGATGGTTTGGAAACCCAGACGAAATATGACTCGATCATACTTGATTATTGTATTTCGATGTATTTCGATGTAACTCGGATAAGTACAGCTTTAGCTAACAATTTTCCTGCAGGCCATTTACACACTTGTGTCGCCGCCGCCGTTGTCCACTTTCATCGTCGTGAAGAGCGAGGTACGGGATGGTACGGGATGGTTTCGGCCTGTTTTGGTCTTCTATTTGAAGCACAAAATCCAATTGAATCCATTCAACTTCTATCAACTTCTAACTTTATATAGTGTCCCAAGATGGTA